GGAAGGATTAGTTCCATTTTGAATATCATATGATCTAACATGTTAATAAGCACTTCTATATAATAAGTCATAAGGCTGAAGACCCTTCCTCTTTATTTATTTTTGAAAGGGAGACAGAGTGAGCAGGGGAGGGGCAGAAAGAGAGGGGGGCGGGGGGGGTGGAGAGAGAGAGAACCCCAAGCGGGCTCCACGCTGTCGGCGCAGAGCCTGACGCAGGGTTCGAATTCGTGAACCATGAGATCGTGACCTGAACTAAAACCGAGAGTCGGATGCCTAACTGACTGAGCCAACCAGGTGCCCCTAAAGACCCTTTCTTTACTCTCTTCTTTGGTTAATAGGTAAACCGGGCTGTTCAAAGTGGCCTCGTCTTCAAGTTGTCTTTACAATATTCCTAACAAAGCCAAACAACCAAGGCTTGGTCCTCCCCCCTTGCTTAAATAGAGGCGATCCTGAGAAGTGATGAATCCCAAAGCTATAGAAATCCAAGTTCTAATTTCCAATTCTCCTACTCTGTTGTTTTTTAAATGTTTGGCATGATTCTGATCCACTCGCCATCTTTCACTCCCCAGCTCTGCCTGAAGAAATAAGGAGGAATTTCATCATGCATTATTTGTCCCTTTTCCAACTCACTGGGGATGTTGTGAGGACTAAAACAACATGGATTCCCCGTGGTAGTTTGAGGGGGAAATGTCTGGCTGAAATGCAAAATATCCTGAATATGTATGAAGTAATAGGTGAGAAAATTAACAGAATATGGAAGAGCATAGAAAAGAAATACTAGAGGAGTTGCCTGTGGAATTTTCCATTGCTTGATATTGGAATGATTCCCACTCTACTGTCAACTCTGGAATCATAAAATGAAAGATTAACAGTTTCAAGACTAAGTGCTAATAGCTCCAATTATATACTATAAAACATATAATATAATATACTGATTATAACATACAAGCTCATACGCTTACACGAAGCCAGGAGTTTCACTTCTAGAATACAGATTTGTGTCATTCTTCTGGTTGCTGCTGAACAGGAAAGAAATGCCAAGGGAGTGCTGGGTCTCACCTTACAGAAGCAGTTAGGGTTATTGAGGGTTACTTTTATTAAAACATTCAACCAAACCGTGTTCAAAACAGCTCTGCTATGGCCCCAGACTACTGATGCTAAAAACCGCAGAGATAACTACTTCTGATGTAACTTCTAAACTGTAGAAGAAGCTTATACCCTCTAAATCTGGGCATTTTAAAGAGGAATCTACTAATCGAAGTCTATGGTTTTCATGCAAAAGCACATTTACAAATGCCAGCACTTGGAAATTAAATGTATTAGAGTCCTGTAAGAAGCACGTTCATTGTTTTCATGTTGTTATTTTTCAGCCGAGGTTTAAAGCCACCTTATTTCTTATCCCAGGATGTGCTATAGGAATCTATGAAACTTAATTACATTGACTGTTACAAAAAAGGATTTATGAACTTTTGCCTTTAGGCAGAAATGTTTATTTCATTGCCTTTGCTATTCATTCTTTTCAACTCCGACGGCTTTGAACTTTTCAGCTGCTCAGAGTTATCACCCTCGTGCAGAGCCCAGGAACTGCACTCCCAACACACAAACCACAAGTTGAAGAAAACGAAGAAGGCGAAGATATATGAGTCGTTATTTTGGCCACCCTTTGTGCCATTAAAATCTCATTTTCTGCCTATTAGAATGCCCTCTTGGTGCTTAGGCAGCGGTGATAGTCGGTGATTAGTGTGTAATTGAGTATAATTGTCTTTTCACTTTTCATTTCTGTCATTCTGAGCTTCTCTCTGTTTTTCTCACCACCAAGAGGAAAAAGGGGGTTAAGAAAAGATAAAGCTGTTAAAACTCTCACTCTCCGCCCTGAAGAGATTCTCGATTGCAATTATAGATTGCAACCCCTTTGTGACATTTCTCCAAATTTAGTGGGCAGCTATCCTCACCACCTGGGCCAAGAGCTCTCTTAATAAAATCAAGCGATCTGTATTTAAACTAGTGCTAATAATGTCAACCTCACACAGATGCCACATGTAGGAAATTTATCCAACCCTCCAACATGCAATTACCAAGGCAATTTATTAATATGATCTCTGAAGAAAGGCTCACAGTCCAATGCAAATTAGAAAAACAATTACAACATTCAAATATCTATATATTCCCAAAGTAGCAGTAATTCTCCTAATCTGTGCATTTATAACTCATTTATCCCAGAGTTCTGTAGTCATCAGCTGATCTCTCCCCACGCAATTTGTTTGCTTCCCCTCCGATCGCTTTATAAAAGCTTTGGTGTTTTAATATTGGGTGCTTTTGTTCACAACCGTATCAGCTGATCAAGTACCTTTTTGAAAACAACAACAACAACAACAGCAACAAAGGTGCGTGAGCTTCTGACCCAAAGCTCAGACCTAGGGGTGGAGCCAACCACTGCCTTGACAACTCGGGGTAAACAAAGAATATCCACGATGACCTTAAAAATCACTTGGGTTTTAAGTCCAAGCTCCAACTTTTGATACGGGCCCGTAGGAAGGGTGGAGAGAAAGGAAACCAGAAAACTGAAATCATGTGGCTTGTAGAAAGAATACATTATGGTTTAAATTTGGCAATTCATTATACGACCGCCTCGGGGAATTGACTGTTCGGTTCTGGTATACAGCAAATCGTCTGTCTGGAAACACGGGACTGACCTGAGGTGAAAGGCCATTGCCAATGGCGGGGTTCATGGGGTTGGAGGGTCCAGACGGAGGCACAAAGCTGTCTGTATAGCTGGAAAATCCATGCCTGGTGCTGGGGAGGCAGTAGGCAGTGTTGCCGTCTGGGTTCGAAGGAAGAGTGCTTTGGTGTACTGTGCTCGGAGGAAGAGGCTGAGGTCTGTGAACGGTGCTGCTGGGATCCGACACGGCTGCAAGGGAGAAGACTGTCAGCTCGGAGGCACCGATGCAGGCCAGCAGAAGACGGTCACATCACCGAGCCACCGGCGGTATCTACCGCTCAGACCAAACAGTAATTTCAAACTGCATTCCATAACATGCGTATAGAGCCACTCATAACAGCCACAGCCACATCTCTGCACTTACGCGCAAGTACGTAACTGACGTCCATACTTCCCTGGCATACTCACCCAGAAAACGAGAGCAGAAATCACGTTAACAATGATAATGAGCCTATTTTGGTAGCGAATGTTATTAATCAGGGTAAGGATTAACCAGTGTCAGAATCGCAAGGCTCACATTTCTTGTCAAATATTCTTTTTTTTTTTTCATGTTTATTTATTTTTGAGAGAGAGAGAAAGAGAGAGAGGACCAGCAGAGGAGGGGCAGAGAGAGAGGGAGAGAGAGAGCATCCCAAGCAAGGTCTTTACTACCAGCTCGGAGCCCAACGCAGGGCTCGAACTCACCAACGGTGAGCGAAGATCAAGCCAAGATCAAGAGTCAGACGCTTACCAACCGAGCCACCCAGGTGCCCCCGGTCAAACGTACTTTCAAAGCACCTAAATATTCGTGTGGAACATCTGCAGTGCTATCTTTCGTAATCCCAAGTAATTTATCACTTATCCCATTTACCTCTGTATGCCATCCAGCAGTGACTTTATCAAAGCTTACCTTCGCTCGATTACTATTGTTAGTAACCATCATAGGACTTTAGTTAACTGCAGACTGGAGTACAAACGAAGTAAAATTTTAATAAAGCCATAGCTAATCCCATATTGATTTAGGAGAGCTGTTTTGTTTGGTCTCATTGTTTTTGTTTTAAAATAATGAAATCGTATTACATTATAGCACGGTTCATCTAGAGAGATCCAAATAATGTCATAGAGCCAACTATGTTTCTGAAATGTGACAGGTACATGTAGGATCACCTGATACCATGCAATCAACCTACAAGTAGCAACAACGTCAGCATCGCCCCGGGTTCCCCTGGCTGTGTAAAACAAGCAGCAGAGAAAGCCTTGGGAGTTACGCTTCAACCCCTGGACTCCCCCTTCCCCCATACCTTGCGGAATAGCTGTGGGCTGGTAAGATGTCTCCGACAGCTGGTATGTTGGCAGAGTCGGCATGGCGGTGGGAGGGAACCCCCCCGGAATGAGATGGTTGAAGGCCATCAGTTGATTGGCCCCAGCTTGCTTCCTCCATCTTGCACGGCGGTTGCTAAACCAAACCTATGGATTTAATTTAAAATTTGAGGATTTCACTGATGAAATAATAGTACATTCTTAAAGAATTTTTCATGCTAAAACAGATGAAAGGCCCCTTACGGACCTTCTGTGTTGTATTGTCAGGGGAGAAAGGAGAGTTAAATGTCAGGGGTCGGGAGAGGGGTTTCCAGGACCAACCTCGGGCCCGCGGAGCCCCCACAAGCCCCATGGCGACCATGGGCAGGGATGGCTGAGCATGACTGGGAACCACAGGAGCTCTCCACTGTCCCCATCACCAACACCTACCCACCTCGATCTCTTTCCACATCGAAGCGAGGACACAAGCACCTCTCGGACCCGTACGTGACATATATCCTAATTAGGGCTTGCCTATCACGCTAACTTTGTATTTAATATTTTCATCAGTCTGACTTAGCATTTCTATGTTATAAGCATAGCTCCTGTGTCATGATAATTGATTAAATGAAGCCATCTTACCATCTCTTTCAAAGCTGACACATTGTTCTGGTCTTAATGGAAATAAATGCCAAAGAGGTAAGTATTTCAAGAAATGAAAGCATTTTATTTAAGAAGATCCTTTAAATAATTAGTTTATTATTTCTCTCAACAACAGCTTAAAGCACCTAATCTACGCTATGCCAAGCACTATGATAACCACATATACTCAGAAAAACTTTGGTATAATATAGTAAAATGCCTTGAAAGAATTCAAAGTAAGTAGCCGGAGAGATGGCAACCATAGGGGTGAGAAATGTAACTTTACACCCAAATGTTAAGCAACTGTGATATAAGGCTTTTAATGGGACCCATCATCTTGCTCAATTCTTACAGCTGCAGCTTCAAAGTGGAACCTTTTTTTTAAAGTTTGTTTATTTATTTTTGAGGGCAGGAAGGGGCTGAGAGAGAAGAAGAGAGAAAATCCCAAGCAGGCTCTGCGCTGTCAGCACGGACCTGACGCAGGGTTCCAACTCACAAACCATGAGATCATGACCAGAGCTGAAGTCGCTTAACCAACTGCGCCAACCAGGCACCCCTTAAATGTGGAACCTTGGATGATTTGAGACAGCGTGTATGTGACGTTTCCCTTAAAATCAGAGAGTATTTCTACCAACTAAAGATAGTCTAAGTCCTATATCAGAAGTTCGTCGAAAACTTCACATGGATAAAGTACTGTGCTTGGGGGTCAGAGGGAAAAAGGGATGAATAAAATGTCAGTATAAGCCAGAATTCCCTGCACTCCAGCAGCTTTCAGACTTGTCCTCTGGAATGCACAGAGCGCTTAAGGAAACCAAAATAATCGCTGCCTGGAAGCAGAAGCTCCATATTTGGAAATGCAGAGCATCAGGGAGCGTTTGGAGAGGGGACGGAATTTGAATTCATTTTAGAATATGGATATGATTTTAACAAAAGGTCACTCCTGATGGAGGTGATAATACAGGAGACCAGAGTGTCCAAGAAAAGGTAAGACCTGATTTCCTTACAGAGCAAGGTTAACAATTAGACAACTTCATTGTTTTGTTTTTAAGTCATGGAAACTTTTAACAGAGTGGGGGGAAGACTTTCTCCATCTTGGAGCAAGAAAACCCAGTTTAACAAATACCTTGCCAGGGTATCTGCTTAAACTTTTGTGATTCACCCAAGCATTTGCCTGGAAAGCAGTCTAGTGTTCTCCTGCCATGTTGTAAGACACTGGTAAGGAAAGCTGTTTGAACTTCCTCAAAATACTAGCATTTAATGCTCCTTAAGTTTCCAACGGGAAAAGAAGGGAAGTCAATATTTTCCCATGTTGATACATAATTGAATTAGAGTTTTACTTAACTTAATAAATTGCCACCTGGGATAATAGAACCATGAACAGCAAGCAGTCAATTTCAGGTTTGTATCAACTGTGTTTTCTCACTGCAAAGCTAAGCATCTGTTATCATGACTCCCAGAAGTGCTTAGCACAAGCTGTTTGGGGCTGAAGGAGGCTGAGAGTAAGGAATGTGGGCTGTGTTCAAGCCTGAGTGTATTGTACTATCCCACACACCGTGGTCGTATTTTATATTATAAACCCTTCAGATTAATGAGTCACACGCGGCCCAGGTGAAGTGATCTCTGACACCTATGTGCACTGTCGGCTGGGAAGAGAGCTGAATTTTCAAAAGTTCACTCATTCGGACTAGCTATCCTCCCTTCTTCTGTTGAGATCGTTTGTGAAGAACTGAGTCCATACTTCCATCGTTATCAGAACATGCTCCCGACCTCTCTGTGCCAACCTCCTTCTGTAACCTTTAGATAAGTAGACCAAGTTTGATTTATCCAGTGGGTGGTGATGCCTGATCACTCCTTCAATCTCAACCTACTTTGATCCAAGATCACTCTAACTCCTCCATAACCCACTTTTTTTTTTTTTTTACATGAAAAATGTCTTTGCTCAAACAAGAAGTAATAAGAAACATCACAACTTCCTACAAATATCTTCAGGCATCCGAAAGACTAGGGATGTATGGTTTTGGGGGGTTTTCTTTTCATTTTTCCAAAATGATACAAATACTGAAGACACTGAGTAAACCTACCAGGAGTTGTATTTAAAAGTTCTTAAAGTATTTACAATGCGATTTCTATTATACCTACCACAAAAGATGACGAGAAATTGTTGGGGGAAGCAAATCTTTACTGCAAAACAAACCTTCGACAGGAGGTTCAAGAGTTTGCCAGTGGAAGGAATTTAAATGATGTTTAAATTTAGGCTAAATAAATCCAGAGGGCTATTCCTGAGAGAACCAGAGATTACTAAGGACTGTCCTTCCTGTCTCTAGCCATTTAACCAGATTTTTTATTATCTTGCCATTGCATTTCCTAGAACCAGCTGTATCTGCCAAAAGAAACATTAATATATATATTAACAATAATATATATAATTTTATATATATTTTATATATAATTTTATAATTACATCCGAAAGTAGTCCTTGCCTTCTTTCTACTTTGAAACTCATAAAAGACGTAGCTACTGTTTTTAATAGGAAAAAAGTGTCCTTGAAATAACCTTCATTTTCAATATCTAAACTGACCAAGCACAGGGATCCTGGGGTACTGTTATGACCCCATCTTTGACTGAAAGACATTCTCTTAGCGTTCAGAGGTCTTATGTTGTATCACTAACATTGTATTCAATATTGTATCACTAATGCCTAAACATCAATCATTCATCTACTAAATGAGCTGGGTGAGTGCACAGCACTGAATAACTTCATCTGAAACGGGCGGAATGCATTTATGACTCAGTTGTTACAATTACTAGAAACTGCTCTTTGTTCTGCAAAGAATAGCATGGGCAACAGAAACAAACCGGCCTCTGATGTTCCAAAGGAGAATATGGGTCTTGCACCAATTTCTTAGCCAGTAGGGCAGAAAGAACAAGTTTTACAAAGTTGGCTACGTACGTGTTAAATGTAAGTCTATGATCTATAATTCAATGTAATCTCACCCTCCCCACACATTACCTGGCCTCCCACATAACACCTAACATGGTAAGGAAGTGGGGCAGGAGGCATACGTTGGTTGATAACGATATCAGCTACAGCTAAATGCTGATAATTAACTTGTATAATACCACAGGGCATCAAAACCCTCCCTCAAAGCAAGTTTTTAATTCATCTGATGAACTGCCACCTGGTTCATTTTCATCTGCCCCCGGATCTTTCCCTACTGGTCCCTCTACAGACCCCTTCCACAAAGCTGTATTCCTGCCTTTGGAAATGATCTTCAGACCCATTTCTGAGGTACTGTACTATCCAATGAATTTTTGAAGCAAAATTTAAATTGATTGAAAGATCCTCATCACATCATGATAACTGTGGGAAAAAAAGATAATGATCCACAAAAAGAGAATAAGGTTTTCTTAAACTTTTCTCTTCTTGGGTCACATACATAACCAATTTGTCCAGACTTTCAACAATACAAGTTGAAGAAAGCTTTGTGCTTTAAAAGATACAATAATACCTTTTATTTGCCCAGGTACAATGCAGACCGGGCAAAAATTGAATCCCATGCCCCCCACCTTGCTACCTCTGTGACCCTGAACAAATTGTTGACTATCTGTGGGCCTCTGCTTTCTCATCTTCTAAATGGGAGAAACAAAAAGCTACTTTACAAGATTGTTGTGACAATTAAGTAAGACACTACAATCAAAGCCCTTGAAAGAACACCTAGGATGTATTTAGTGTTTAATAAAAGTTAGCTATTGGGGTGCCTGGGTGGCTCAGTCGGTTAAGCGTCCGACTTCGGCTCAGGTCATGATCTCATGGTTCGTGAGTTCGAGCCCCATATTGGGCTCTGTGCTGACAGCCCAGAGCCTGGAGCCTGCTTCTGATTCTGTGTCTCCCTCTCTCTCTGCCCCTCCCCTGCTCATGCTACGTCTCTCTCTGTCTCTCAAAAATAAACAAATGTAAAAAAAATAATAATAATAAAAAGTTAGCTATGAAGTATAAACATCATGCCGTCACTATCTTAGACACCCAAGAATTAAACCCTTGCTTTGTCTTCCCAGCTCTGTGGTCTACAGCCAAAGCCTTTTGTGCCCATGAGCAAACAGGAAAGTGCCCAAATAACACCTCAAATAATTGAAAGCCAGTTTGGCTTGAATGGAGACTTGGGTTAAATTTGCTTCCAAGTTTCATGGATTAGTGCTAATTATCCCATGGTGTAAGTCTAATTTTGCCCATCAAGAAATTACTGGTTCAGATTTTTGGTGTGGTTCTCAAAGGCAAGCTAACCTACATTATTCCAGATGGGTTATTTCAAATGTAATTGGAAAAATGGGGAGAGGATATAATACTTAATGCTTAGAAAGGGAATTCACAGCATTTAAAATGCTTGATTAAACACAACATTCAGCGATGTGTAATGTGACAAGGCCAACATAGTGCTTTCCAAGTAGGTAAATTCGGGATAAGCTGCAATATCCCTGGACCTTCTCATTCACTCCACACCCCCTCTCTTTCCACATCCCACTCTCCCAGTGCTGCTTTCCAGCTGTGACCACTGTACAGAGAACAGGTCGGGGGCGGGGGGAAGAATGGGTAAGGTTGACAAGGAGAAGCGCCAGGCTCTGAGGAATGTCAGAGGACCGTGAACACACAGAAAGGCAAATTCAACTGCATGCATCTTCATTCACCCCAAGAGCAAACTCCTGCTGAGAATTTCAGGGTGATGATATTTTTGCATCATTACGGAATTCAGGCCCAAATGTTCCATACCTATCTTAACTTCTGAATGACACAGATTTGCTGGATGGCTTCAAATTCCCATTGGATCAAAAATCCAAGAAAACACGTGTTTGGCGAGAATGTAGAGAAAAAGGAGCCCTCGTGCACTATTGGTGGGAATGCAAACTGGTACGGCCACTGTGGAAAACACTATGGAGATTCCGTAAAAACTTAAAAATAAAACTGTCATATGATCCAGTAATTCTACTACTGGATATTTACCCAAAGAATATGAAAACACTAGTTCAAAAAGCTATATTCACCTTTATGTTTACTGCAGCATTATTTACCATAGCCAAATTATGGAAGCAGCCTACATGCCCATCGATAGATGAATGGATAAAGAAGATGTGATATATACATAGATAGATATACATATACATATACATATACACATACATATACATATACACATACATATACACATACATACATACATACAACGGACTCAGCCATAAAAACAAATGAAATCTTTCCATTTGCAACAACATGGATGGATCTAGAAGTTATAATGCTAAGTGAAATCAGAGAAAGACAAATACCATATGATTTCACTCATGTGAAAACTGAGAAATAAAATAAAGAAAAAAGAGATGAACCAAACACCAGACTCTTAACTATAGAGAACAAACTGATGGTTACCAGAGGGGAGGTGAGTGGCAGATGGATGAAATAGGTGAAAGGGATTATGAGGACACTTATTCTGATGAGCACTGAATAACGTATAAAAATGTTGAATTTCGGGGCGCCTGGGTGGCGCAGTCGGTTAAGCGTCCGACTTCAGCCAGGTCACGATCTCGCAGTCCGTGAGTTCGAGCCCCGCGTCGGGCTCTGGGCTGATGGCTCAGAGCCTGGAGCCTGTTTCCGATTCTGTGTCTCCCTCTCTCTCTGCCCCTCCCCCATTCATGCTCTGTCTCTCTCTGTCCCAAAAATAAATAAATGTTGAAAAAAAAAATTTTTTTTAATGTTGAATTTCACTATATTGTACACCTGAAACTAATACATCATTGTGTGTTAACTATACTGAAATTAAAATCAGTCAATCAATCACTCAGTCCCTATTGGATTTCCCTGAGAATCTCACATTACTGATGAGAAATCACGCATCCTAGATATTTAGTTATTTACTTATTTTGTTTTAGAAAGAGAGAAAGAGAGGGCAGGGGAGAGGGGCAGAGGGAGACAAGAGAGTGAATCTAAAGCAGGCTTCATGCGCAGTGTGGAGTCCAACACAGGGCTTGATCCCACGATCCCAGAATCGTGAACTGAGCCCAAATCAAGTCAGTTGCTCAATTAACTGAGCCACTCAGGTGCCCCTTAGTTATTTTTAATCGGGGGATGGGAGAGGGGAAGATGACATTTGAGAATATGACAAAGTCAGGGACCCCTCTCTGGTTAACGCTTGTGTATACACATACATATGCACACACGCACACACACACGCACACACACACACGCACACACACACACAGAGGCAGAGGCAAAGGCACAAAATTGTGTGTACAAATCTCAAGTCCCCTAGATTTCTTGAAGTTCTTCCATGATTATCCTGGTCATCTGTGGACCCAAACTGAGATCATCTGATCTAACCTATCCCATATTTGAAAACAAAACAAAACAAAACAACAACGACAACAAAAAACTGAAGCCAGCAGGATTACAGCAGAATCAAGTGACTTCCTCAACAAAACACGTTTGGCAAGCTGAGACCAAAACCCACATCTTGTGACTCCTAATTAAATGCTGTTTCCTCCAACAGCTTCCTTTGCTGTCTTCCATTATCCTGGTGGGAAAAGTGATACTTCTCTGCTTTGTGGAGTTCTCAGATGGAATATTTCCCAAAACTTTTGCACATCATAAATATTTGCATTCTTCCCCACAAAACGAATGCTTCCCATTATTTGCATAATAATACCCAGGAGGGAAATTGGGCACATCAGTCTTTGGTGTAATTCTTAGATTGTGTACTCAGATTCGGTTGTGATAAACACGACATAGCTACTGTCTAAACAAATTTTTATGAAATACTAACAAACGCCTAAGTTATTATACGTTAATGCCATCTGTACCCAGAAGACTTTAGAAATATTTTACTCAGGGGGAAAAAATAGAATGTAGACTTGTTTGGGGGGGGGGGGCTTCGTTTGGTGTTTGGTTTTCCCAGGTGCCCCAAATTAAACTAACTCACACTTTCTGGCTATCACTCAAGCTGAGTTGACTTTGTTACTGCTTTCCCAGATCCTTCTAAAAACTAAAGGATTTTGTTCTGGCATTTTAATCAGTGATTAACTAGTCCCTTCTTTTTCCTGCTGTGTTAAGTAAAAGATCCATATGCCGGGTGTTGTAGGGAATTTGTTAGGCTGTAGATCATAGCTGTGGTGCAAGACATGATGTGTCTCAAGGGAACTAATGAAGCTATAAGGAATGTAAAGAGTCACCGGGTTAAAGCCACATTAGGACAGCTGTTAGGTTAATGAGGGCCCTGCTTTGGAGAGGAGGTCACTGTATAGAAAAATATGAACCACTCTTTATTGGTTTGATCCCATGTCCTCTGCAAGTTCATGGGCCTTTCTCATTCTCCTCTGACATTCACGGAGCCAGATGTGAATGCAGGGCACTGCGCAAATTGCAAGGGCTTGAGATTTATTCCGTCCCCCGTCCTTGTTTTTGGCAAAGGCAGGAACGAGGTACAACAACACTGAACATTCTTTTAGTTTCCCGTCACTCTCTTTGTTTGATTTCTTTAAAATCCGTGCTTATTTTTTGACTCCGAGTGCAGAGCTGTCTTCTGTCTGTCTAAAGGACAGACTCGGGATGTGGGCTTGACCAACAGGGAGTATAGGGACCAAAGCCTGGAATCTAGTGGGCACTCAATAAAAGTTTGCTGGAAGAACAGAGATTGGAATGGATCTGACTTCAGATTTAAATCAGGTCATCACAGAACTATAATAAAACAATTAGATTTGAGGTATATCATATTTGTAACACTGTGATATGTAATAACAGAATACGTACACCACATATATTATATAATACAGTATTTATGTACACATAGTATCATAATTTGTGGTTAGTGGTGGTCATTTCTGGAGAGGAACACCGTATCCCAATGTAACAGGTAGAGAGATTCAATAGTTCCAGCTGTAAAACACTTGCACCATAACACCTCCCCAGATCTGTGGCCCTTCTCTTCACTCACCCTTCCATCCACGTCCTGCTTACACAATCGGTTGCCTACATTCCAGCTCTGGCTACCTTTGGCCACCGTCCTTTCCCTTCCACTCCCATGGCCACTGACCCGTTTCATGCCCACGGCTTCCACTGCCTATCACATCAACTGTGAGAGCCTTCCCCTGAAACCCAAGCCCTCCACAGGATGTGCTCAGCCTAGATGTCCAACTCTATTCCTCCCTGCCCCCTCTTACCTCTCCCTAGCCTCCAGCCAAATTGAACAATTCACTGTGCCTTCAACATGAATGGAAATGAAATGTCACCAGGTCTGTAACTCATGTGGTGACTCACGTTGTATTCACCGCACCCTCCCTGACCAGTGAATTTCTCTTTAGCTTCGAAAGTTCATCTTCAATCGGCCTTCTTCATGAGCCTCTCCTGTTACTCCAGCAAGATCTCATTCTTTCCTCTTCTTAACTCTCACTGCACTCTGCTTCTGCCTTAGGGTACTTGTTATATCTGGTTTATTATTATTATTATTTGTGCTGACTGCATTAACCATATTAGACTGCAGCTCCTTGAGACATTTCTCTTAATCCCTCTTAGCGTCCCTTCACTTTGTTAGCACTATGATACACGGAAAGCCAAGTCGAGTGAGACAGTTCTTCTGACGAGGCTTTGTAACCTGGAAAAGGCTATTTCTGAAAAAGTCTATAACAGGAGAGGTAATCAGCTGCATATGAGACGCACTGATCAATCTAGAGACCAGGTCAACTGAGCAGTTCACTGCTGAGTCTCCAACCTCACTTTGACTATGAAAGTCAAGTCACCGGGAAGAACACAGCATCTCCAGATGAGGCAACTTAACCAGAGAGAGGGGTGCCTGGGTGGCTCATTCGGTTAAGCATCTGGCTCTCGGTTTTGGCTCAGGTCGTGGTCTCACGGTTTCTGAGTTCAAGCCTCTCTGCTGACCGCACAGAGCCTACTGGCGATTCTCTCTCTCCCTCTCTCTCTGCCCCTTCCCTGCTCTCTCTCCCTCCTCTCAAAATAAATAAATAAACGTTTTCAAAAAGGCACTAGAGAGAAAGGTGGGACCTTTATACTACTAAAGGCTACAGTTCACAATGAAGTGCCTTCGCTAACATATTTATTTTCTTGGTTTCAAATCTGCTTCAGATGAGAGGACACTTTTTTGTTTCCTGTCCAGATTCAATCAGGACGTGGCTGTCTGGAGTCAGTACCTGTACTCGGGCCTCCGTGAGCTTCGCCCTCTGTGCCAGCTCCTCCCTGGTATAAATGTCAGGGTAGTGGGTTCTCTCGAAAGCTCGTTCCAGTTCCTCAAGCTGTTCTGCTGTGAAGGTGGTTCGGCTCCTGCGTTGTTTTCTCTTCAGGGGCAAATCTGGTTCGGAGTCAATGTCGGAGCCTTCATCCGATTGGGGTGCTGAGGCTAAAGGCACAAGAGAGAGAAGGTGATAAAATGGGGGTCAAAAAACAAGGGCGACCAAGCCTTAATGATTCAAATCCTAACGTCCATCCCCAATGTCTTCCCTGGGACACCAAGCCCCTCTCTGCAGCATTATATTATTAAATGATATCTCCTCCCCTATTTTGTCTCCAGGCCCCCCAGGCAGAAATCATTGTTCTCTGCATCTGTCAGTCGTGGTCCATTATGAGATCTTAGCAAACAGGGACGGCATTCTTTCACTTTTATGGCCCTTGTCCTTAACACTTAATGGGTACTCCATCTGTGTTTGATGAATGAATCATTTAACTTGGTTCCAAATTAACTTTCTCCAACTTTTACATGAGGAAATCTGTTTAAAACGGTGGTTCTTTAGAAAAAAACTCCAGTGGTGCCTGGGTGGCTCAGTCGGTTAAGTGTCCGACTTCAGCTCAGGTCACGATCTCGCGGTCCGTGAGTTCGAGCCCCGCGTCGGGCTCTGGGCTGATGGCTCAGAGCCTGGAGCCTACTTCCGATTCTGTGTCTCCCTCTCTCTCTGCCCCTCCCCCGTTCATGCTCTGTCTCTCTCTGTCTCAAAAATAAATAAACGTTAAAAAAAATTTTTTAAAAAGAAAAAAATTCCAAAACTAATGTAGTATCTAAAAAGCCAATAATAGTGAACTGTTACAGGATCCCAACAAATTTATAGACTCTACCGCTCCTACAGAAGAAATCATACTTATAGTTAGTATCTTATTACCAGATACTGAGAAATATTTAAGAAGAGTTTAGATACTGTTGATGTAAACCTCCTGAACTGACTCCAGAAAAAGCAGGCATAGTCTAGTGACCTGTCCCTACACCAAAAGTTCAAAGTCTGGGTCTCTGCTGAATGGCGAGCAGCTGCCCAGAGGCTGTCGCCTCATTTGAGGAACACGGTGAAAAATTTAAATACGAGTGCCTGTGTTCAAAAATTGTCGCAGTTGTGAGATGGCCACAACAGAGCATAAAAAGCAAACACAGAGCCCTTCTGAGCACGGGGCCATGAGTGAGTGACTGCACAGGTCACATGTCCCTGAAGCCAGGCCCGTTGCAGGCCCCTTCCCAGCAAGTTTGAGTTTGTCTGTGTTAGCAGACATCAGGGAAGGAGATTTTCCATAGTTAGTGTGTGAGCATCTCCGAAAGAGAGGAAGGAACCGGGAAATTAGATAGGAATTTGCATTAATGATGCAATATGGCATCCGTGAGTTCTGGCAATAACACAGTAACTGTCAGCCTGGAGAGTGTTCTGAGGTTTGTGGGCACAGCAGACACAGGGCTCTGGGCAGGAGCACAGCCATCTCCCGGAGGCCCTGGACATCAGGGCAGTAGCAGGGGGCCATCAGAGGGCTCTCAGGCCACACACTCTGAGCAGAGCTCAGGACACCCAAGGGCCTTGCTCCTGAGCATATCCAAATGCACTCTGAAAACTCCCCAAATAGCTGAGGGATCCTCTGGGGAAGGGGCTGAAGTGTGCTATCTGCAAATGAGGAAGGAATTGTAGATCATTAATGTCATTGTCAAGGTAACTCCTTTGCACACCCAGGCTGTAGGACCCGAGGAAACACAGGTGGTGCCAGAAGCGATGACAAAATGCAAAAAAGTACCAATTCTCATTTATCTTAAACTCCAACAACTCTGCCCTACAGAAATCAAAAATGTCATTCGACTTCAGTATCAATTATAAGCTGCCCAAAAGGGGTACACGTCCAACATAACCCATAAATATAATTTTAATTTTTTAATATTTAATACTTTTGTAATTTACTCACACTCAAACTTGAAAATTAAGAGAGCGAATTAATAATCTATATGACAAATTAAAGAAAAACAAGTTCCTGTACGTAAAAGCAAAATGGAAGCATCATATATAATGCTCTGCTATATGTTAGCCATGAGGCTTGGTTTTTCAATTATGTTGTCTAATTTAACATAAAATGGTTTCATTTTCTTAGTTTATTTTATTTATTTTGAGAGAGAGACAGAGAGAGAGAGAGAATCCCAATCAGGCTCCACACTGTCAGCACAGAGCCCAATAGAGCTTGAACTCACGAGCCAGAAGATCATGAAATGAACCGAGATCAAGAGTTGGATGCTCAACCGACTGAGCCACCCAGGCGCCCCTAAAATGGTCTAATTTGATATAAATCTTGTTTTAGGATACTTAGGAAATAAAACCAGACTTTCTTTAAGTGTGGGAATGTTTCAAAGGAGCAGTAACATGCTAAGAAATGTGCCATACGTTGCATTATAAACTTTAAACGCTCCCAATAGAACTTATGTGTGTATGTGTTTGATAAATGTGAATCCGATTAAAAGCGCTGTAATTTGTGCATCATTGTAGGGCAGTGGATCTTGAGCTGTTGGAGCATCAGAATCACTTGAAAAGCTTGTGAAAACACAGATTGCTGCCCCTAGCTCGTTCCAGAGTTTTCTGCTTTCACAGGTGGTATGCCAACTTTACTGATCCTAAACGATACTTTGAGAACCACCTCTACAGAATATTCCAGACTCTCATTTTCTCTCCCCAAATTCCCCAGTATATAATATTTTTCCTGCTGTAATTTATCAAAGCAACACTTCCACATACATAATACACTTTTCAAGAAATGGATTAGTTGTTCTCCTAAGACCATTGCGTACCATAAAATGCTTCCCTTCCCTTCTTCCAGTTTCTGTTGCCCTGACTTTTCTGTCTTCTGTAAATTCAGGTGCAAACCCCAACAGCATTTAAGGGCTGACCAACAGCTTCCTCTGCCTGTGAGAACCTTAAATCTTTGCTTCCCCTTTCTCTGACTATGATCCCATTAGGATAATAGTATGTGGAAATTTTCATGTTTCCTCTGGGAGTCTCTAGGGTTATTAAATCCTCCCAAGTAAATATGATGTGCCATGCACTGTCAGGTCAATTAATCAACATCACCTCTAGTTTCTGAAGAAAGGGGGCTGCTTACATTTGCGAGTACCAGTGAGAGTTAATTCTGAGGGTCAAGGCCACCGTGTTCCACCTGAACAATCCACATCCCCCTGAATATAAGCTTTGTGAGCCTCTCTCCATCTTGTTCACTGTTGGAAGCCTTGGAACACCATAGGTGCTCAATAAACACATGATGACTGAATGGAAACACCAGGTAGAATTTAAGTTTTGGACCAACACTGATTTCTCTGCCACTATTTTGCACCTTTAAATGGAAATGCTGCCCTTCTGAGTCTCCCAGCATGGACTGAAATGAGGTTCAGGAGTCCACAAATCCTCAAACATTATTTGGAAGTTTTTGCAAGTATTTGCGTAACTGTATTTTTCTGGGAAATAATTATCAATTTTTTCTGAGGATTGTGATTTTTTTTAAAAAAACAAGTTGATCACCAACAGCTAGTAATTAAAAAGACTCAGAACGGGGCGCCTGAGTGACTCAGTTGGTTAAGCGTCGAACTTCAGCTCAGGTCATGACCTCGCGGTTCACCAAGTTCGAGCCCCGCATCGGGCTCTGTGCTGACAGCTCAGAGCATGGAGACTGCTTTAGATTCTCTCTCTCCCTCTCTCTCTGCCCCTCACCCACTCACACTGTATCTCTCTCTCTCAAAAATAAATAAGCATAAAAAAAAATTAAAAAGACTCAGAATGTCTAGGAGTTCAATAATACAGGCTTTGCCACTAAAAATAAAATTTTCTTTGACAAGCTAATAAGTCGCTACTTGTATTTCTAGACTGCTTATTCAAGAGCAGTCCAATGGTTGTGCCTAACTAGGAAAACCTCCATAAAGCACCATTTCAAAAGACACTGAGGAAATGACTTGCCTGATTTCTCTGCAGGAAAATTATCCGAACCAATGGATCCTTTCTGGCAACATGAAGCCACAGTTGTACCAGTTAATTCTAACTTGTCCCCATCTGTACAGCCCAAAAGGATGTGGGCTTGAAGATATGTTAAGTCAGCCACCCAAGACTAATCTACCAGCCAGGAGATACTAGCTACTTCTAAAGATGGAAACACTACCGTGTCTTGTATCACCAATAGAAATAAGATTCATTATTTGTGCAGAACACGAATCACAATAATGTCATGAATGTGAATCATTCCGTTTTTACCAAAAACAAGTCTGACACTTACATTTTAACAGCACAAGAAAAAATATTTTGAAGTTCATCTATTTCACATATTCAACTTTCCTCTAGATACTTGATACAAAATACCTAATCCTCCTAAATATTACAGCAAAGTAAAAACAAGGCTTTTTTTTTTTTTTCAGACAACTCAACACAAAGAAATTACAGTTTTTCTAATGCTATGACTTGGACCCCACAAGACAGTTCTCTAAAATAGACTGCCGGGATATAACAACTAGATTAAATATAATCTCTTCAGTAATATAATCTCTTTGGATTACTTCTTCTGTCTAGCCTTAATATTAAGAGGAGATTTTCAATGGCATTTAAGTTACTCAGTCATATTCTACACACGCCTTCACAAAGTTTGCTTTATTATTCATTAAATAGAGATATTGTTCCCCAACTTGAAATTCCAGAACCGCTCTCATAAGAAACCCACACCAACATATGATACATGACTTTTTGAGTGGAGATTGTATTGCTCTAAATTGCATAATTCTCCAATTTTACCCCAATCCATATTCTTATCAGACCTTGAAAGTTTTGACTCTATTTTCAAAACCCCCTCACAATCCATTTTCTGACTTACACATTAGTGTAATTCAATGTCTCCAATGAGCCTGGAGCAAACCTCTCTCTTACCAATGTAAGTACACAAAAACCCTGTGAAATAAATACCCCTTTGTACAAAAAAAGGAAACTGAGACTCAGAGACAACATTATTCAGATCACGTGACTAAGGAAGCTAGGATTTGACCCAGGTGTATGGGGCTTCGGAGGACATTCTTTCTTCTAGCCTGGTATGTTCTAAATAGGTGCTCAGTTCCTTCCTTTCTCTCTCTCTCTCTCTCTCTCTCTCTCTCTCTCTCTCTCTCCCTCTCTCTCTCTCTCTCTCTCACGTGTGTGTGCGCACATGCACACGTGTGCGCGCGCGCACACACACACACACACACACGGTCCTTTTGAAGAGAAATACCAGAAACAAATCCAAACAGGAATTCTAATACAAGTTATTTAGCTGATTGCCACCAATGACTCATTTGTCCCAGGTTTTCAAAAACCTCCTAGAATCAAATGAAATTTATGAAAACACAACCGTTTAATATTATACACCAAATCAATTTCCTGATCGAATTTAACTCCATTCAATGAACATTTATTGAATTCTTTGTATATTCAAGTGTAGTCATTAAACAAGGGTAAAGCCCTAAGAAACTAATCCATTTGCCAAGATGCTGAATGAATTTATTTAAGAAAACAAAATAGTCTGACCATTTGAAGTCTCCCTTAAGAATCATTGCAGAGCCCTGGTCATAAGATCCAGCGTCAATCTAGAAGATACTATTGGTCACAAGCAGTTGAACTGATCACTCATTTTACAGCTTTACTAAATCCTTCTTTTTTGCTATTAAAAACATCTTAGTGAAAGGATCTCAAGCCCTGTAAAGTAACCTCAAACTGTTTTCAGACAAAAGTGCAGGAATAAATAACTTGAAATCTGTTGGGGTATTCACAAGTTATTCAGTAGATGCCCCACAGTGATCCCAGGCCAACAGTCACCTCTCCCCAGGTGCCTCAGTGTTTCAGTTCCGTGCTTTGTATGAAAGGTCATTTCTTCCTTTTCCCTCTCAAGCTAATTTTAGGTCTCAGGAGCCAAATTTTTAGTGACCCCAATGATTTCACATTAACTCCCAAGATTAACCTTGGGAACGTGGACATCATCAGTTTAAAAAAAGAGAGAGAGAGAGAGAGAGAGAAAGAGGTCAAGCATAGGCAACAATCATTACCCCCACAGGATTACAAATTCTTCCTTCGGAAACAAATCAAACTGGGAGGAGAAGGCAGAAGTATTTACCACCAGTGGACCAACCATGAAGTTTAATTAAAGAAGGAATTACAGAATTAGAGAGTATGTCTTTGTCCGTTAACCCCTTGTGACCTCTTCTGTAGCCTGAAGAAATATTTCATCCTAGTTAACGCTATTATACATGAGATCTTACCTCAATTTTATAGGGATTTAGTCACGTGGACTTCTATAATTATTGGTTTCCAGACCAATATAATTCAGGGATGGGAGACAGGCAAAAAATGGAGAAACAAAATAATTCACAAGCATGAATTTGGCACACTGTCTTTCTTCTCAGCAAGACCTTTCATTTGAATAATTAAAGAATCAAAACATGACAACCATTTAAACTCTATGTTTGTCCCAGATATAATACGATGCAATTTACAGACACAGAGGAGGTGGGGGGGGATCTCTCTCTGCGGGCTCTGAGGCTGAACGTCATCATCAGTCATTCACTCTAAGATGGCCCCAGACCACATCAGACGGTCTTTTCGTCTGTACTAATCTTTGCAAGCTCGACCTATCAGCATGTGTACTCAAAGCTGTGTCTTGCTGATTAAAAAATAACAAGAATACAACACAAATTAAAGTAAGAATCGTGCCTGAGAGCTCCCTGAGATCACTTCCTCCCATATCCGAAGGTCTTAGGGGACCTCGCAGGTATATTCCACAAGGTCTTTCACGGGTCAGCTCAAAGTTTGAGGCACCCGCTTGGCTAACTGCAGAATGTCTCCTGCGTTTGTGAGTGTTGCCATCCAGCATGAAGGGGACGATGGGACAGCTAACTGTTTTCTGATGTGAAGTGGCCCTTCTCCACTGAGAGAGATGTGAATGACCTCTCTCGTGTTTACTCGGGTGAAAGCCAGGAGGAGTGAGGCAAGACTGATATTCCCTCACAGACCCAGAGTAAATGACAAATGACATTTTCCCTTTGTGATCTTTGGGATTTTTGTTGACTTATTTGGAGGCTTTTGTTGGATCCCAAGAAATGGCCTGTGGCTGAGGCCTATTCTACCGATTTCCACGCTCCATCTGTGGAATCCATCAACGGGGCATTTTACCCTCATTCAGGGGTCTGACACCTGCCTGGCAGGGAGCAGCAGACACAAAGAAAGCCAGGAGTGGATGAGAAAGGGGAGGTTGGTTGTTGTTTTTTTTCTTCTTCCAGGGGCGGGGGGAGGTTGAAATGGATGCACAGTAGGGGTTAATCCAAGCCAGTCTAGAGACTTCAGCACCTGGAACCTTCTCTTCCACATTAATTCACAAGCTGAGAAGTAATCGGCGACATTATTTTTTTAAGTGTGTTTAAATCCTATCTAGGTCAAGAAAAGAAAAGAGATACAGAAAGGAAAAGAGATACCCGCCTGAAAGGAACACACGGGAAGACTGACGACCAAATCCAAAGGTGGACGTAGAAAGTGCGCGGACGACCTAACAAACGATCAAGCATCCAAGAGAACTTCCCAGAATTCCTGACTCAGGGACGATTTGAGGAGTTGTTATTTTGCTGGTGGATAAACAGGGAGAAATGGCCCGTCACCCCACCGGTGGTCCATGTGGAGGGGAGGGGGTCCTGTTTTGCTTTTTGTCGCCTCTACAACTTCTCCAAAGGTGCCAGCCAAGAATCTTTAACAAGTACCCCTCCCCCCCCCCCAAAAAAAGAATAAGAATAAAATAAAAGGAGGTAGGACGATCTGTGGCAAGAATATTCTGGGCTTTCTCCAAGAAAGGTTCTTTTCAGAACACTCCATCTAATTAAGACCCGCAGCCACTTCCCCACTGCGGCCCCTGCCCCGCAGTCCCCATTTGGGGGTTGCAGAGATGTAACGCTATTCCCCTCCCCCCGCCCCCAGGTCCTTCCCTCGGAAGCCGCCTTCTCCCAGCACGGGGTCATTAGAAGGAAAATAAGCTCCTGCCAGGTTGGTGCTAATCAAAATAGCACAAATAAACCCTGACACTCAACAACTCCCCGAGTGCCTGCCGCCCCGGGAGGAGAGTACAGATTGGTTATGAATCCGGCCAGCCGCGCGTGCTGCACACCCGCCCCGGAGTTCTCGCAAGTGCACGACATGGACCGTTGGGTGTTTACTTAAGATAAGAGCTATGGAGCCGCCAGAGCGGCCAAGCTGCCTCCCAGGCGATGAGCAGCACGGCCCCAAAGACCCCCCAGAGCCTAAGGTCCCGATCTCGGCGCAATGTCAGGTGCGCGGCGCACCTGCAGCTAGGTTACGCTGAGACACCTTAACTCGGAGTGGAGTTCCTCCCAACCGCCTCGCCTGATCATCGGTCACGGCAAAGGCCTCCTTTGTAACAACAAAGCCAGAAAGAAAGGCTTATGCTTCCTTGTTCGTCACAGCCCCGCCAGTAAGTGGCCTGTAACAGCTATATGCACTTGATACATTTAAGGAAAAACCTGCCTGGGCCCTTTTTCTTCCCGCGATACAGCAGCATCTCGTCTGGGGGAGCCGCAGAATCGTGACCAAAGTGTTTCAGCACCTTCCTCCCCAGGCTTCAAGTGCAGGACGCATCCTTGCTTGCTTAGAGACCCTGACGCTGACCCAGATTACCTCGGTGGCTTCTTGAACCCTCTGGTTTACGACCTGGAGGTGCGCGTGACGAGAATTGCTCTCAACAACATGAATCTCTCTCGCGGAGGGAAAAGATGAAGTGACACTTCCCTACCCCACCCCTGCAAACGATTTTTATTTGCAGTTGTCTAAGGGCTTTTTAAAAACGCCGCGGTCACTGCCACTGGAGCATTTCAAAGAGGAACAGAGGAAAGCCCCCAGAAAATGTGTTGCTATTCAATTAGGAAAACTGATTAGTTGACTAATTAATCAGTTAACAGCTTTCTAAGAATAGTCTCCCATGATAAGAATTTCCCCCCTCAAGAGCTTAAAAGTCAGTCATAATTAAAATTAAGAACCAGAGCTCGCTCTCTCCGTGTTAGGTCCCCATGGCCCTAAAAGCAGGCAAGCTAGGTTCTGGTTTCCCGGGGACTGGGCTGCATGGAGCAAAGAAAGGTAATTTGCACACTGAAGGGGAACAGGAAAACGGTAGTTCTCGTGAAAGGAAAAGAGCCAAGTGACTTTTATTTACAATTGCCAAGAGAGAGGCCATTATTGACCATATGTGCCACAATGGCCCTCTTATCACGGGCTGGCCATCATGTCCTTTGGGAGCTGTTAATGAACTGGGTAATTGAGCTGCTGACATGTGTTACCAAAACAAAACAATAGGAAGAGGAGACAAATGAACATTTTATTTGCCAATCAGAGTAGGTTCGCCTTTTCACGGAGTTGCGGCTAAGTTACTGACTGAATACATAAAACAGTGCATTGAAAGCAAGCAGATGTAGACACAATAATAGTTAACTGACAGCTTCTGGCCCATCTGTGCTTAACATTTTGTTAAAGAAATTACTTGACTTGCTAAAGAGGCCAATCATACAGCTGCCCCGAGTGCTACATTATAAGAGATAAATCATTAGCTAAACTGTTTCATGTTTAAAATGACAATGCTTATTAACAGTTGCGTTGGGACATTTTTGCCGGCACAGCTTGACACAGTTATTACTTGCTAAAAATGGGACAACTCCTGGATTTTCAACAGAAGGGAGTTGGGGCAGGGGGAGGAATCAGAACACTGCAAACCCTTTGAAAGAACAATAGGCATTTTTAATCTCTCACGATTAAGTCTGCATTTCTAAGATGTTACAAATTGGGGGGGGGGGGAACCTGTGAAATGGACCACAAGATGATGTTCCATGTGGTAATTAGGTATCTTTCTTCCATATCTCTTTACTATGGTGGGGGGTGGGGGACACCATGTTGCAAAAGACTTGCTGTCTGAGAAGATTTGGCTAATGTTTTTGTTACTGCGTCTGAATTGAAACCACATTTTTTTCCTCCAGGTCCAAGTGTGGTTCATCCACTGCCATGCAGGACGGCTTACCTCTGAAATCATGTCTTTGTAAACTGGTTACCCAGAGATAGAACATGGGTCCCTCAAAGCCCTTCTTGTGATGATTCCTTCAACATTCTGGGCAAAATTGAGTCAACAGTAGCAACAGTGATATATGAAAGGCTGCTATTCTGACTCACTGACTGCCTGGTATAGTCAACTCCTGCTTCCTTCCTCCTTCATGTACACGTTCTTTCATTTTTCCCAAAACCCTATTGGAGGAGTGTTGTCACCCCCATCTTATAGATGAGAGGGGGAAAAAAATGAGGTCTGGGGAGTAATGTAACCTACCTGATCCATGAGAACGCAGAGAGGTTATCCAAATATAAGATCGTATATATCAAATATAAGATCTAATTAGCATTGCCATTTGAGGAGGAAGATTGATGTGGGCTGGAAGAAAAACTGTAGCCAATATCATCACATTTTTTTCCCTTCCTGGTCTACACTGCCAGGACTCAGATGTCACAGTCAACTCTGCAAATCAGTTGTGAAAACACGACTATAAAAGGTGAGTGGTATTCTCAGTGGTGGTTGGTGTGTGTGAAAATTATGTTATGCACAGTTACTAACAGAGATCGCTGGCTATGAAACGGAAACCCTAGCTATGTATACAGAGCTTTAAAATAAGACACCACCTGATTCGCGACACAGTGGACAAAGACAAAGAACCACCCTGCCTTCACCTTTATTTCCCACGACTGGATATTTTTGCCATTGTGCGCATCAGTCACTTTCACGTCGACAAATAAATCCAAAGCAGAATATATAAAACAGATAACAAGTTGCACAAAGAGCCTTTCAGGGGGTAGAAAAACAAAAGAACGCTTTTGCCACCCTTATTGAGACAGGACTAGCAAAGACACACGCGACCCACGCTGTTTTACCGACAACTAAATTTTGTCAGGATTAGCATGGCGGGAGATATTCGGGGCGGGGGGGGGAAACCAAACACAAGAAAGGCAGATTTAAGAAGAAAGTTAAATACGACACCTTTTGTGCCAGAAACCTACATAAAGAGATAGACGCCTGACAGCCTGGACAGACCAGGGGAAAGCATTCCTGCAATTGCCGAACCATCAGAAACCCTAGGCCAGTCCCTTCGTCTCAGAGCCGAAGCCCAGAGAGCAAGCAGGGTTGTCCAGAATCACACACATGCTTCAGGAAACAGCGGCTGATGCTGTCCTCGGCACCAAGGATGCAAAGACGAATGATGTGTGGACTTAAAGTCAGAAAGCAAAAGTCGCATCACCTGGCTCCCACCTCAGTGCTCTCTCCACGGAGGCCAAGCCCGGGTACACACAGAAGATAATCCAGCCGTGTCCTGCAGCAACAGGGGGATTAAACGGCCTCTCAAGGCTGAAACACCTAGATACATTATTTACCAAATAACGGAGCCATAGATTCTGTGAGCCTGTGATCTTTAATATAGAGATCAAATTCGTACATCGATGCTTTCACGGACACCTCCCATATGGCATTTCAAGATTGTTTCTTCGCTTTTTGTCTCCTACGGGATTCCGTGAGGGCTTCAGAAAAGGGGCAGCACAGGAAGCTTGTTTTGAAAATCCAAATCTTACCTGGGCCAATTATGGCTTCTTGGAAGAGAGAAAGAGGTAATAACTGCACATAAGCGAAAGAGGAAACTTTTCCTGGAGGCAAGAGAGGAGGCTGAGCGTAATTCTCGCTGGCACAGGAATTAGTGGCAACATCAAGGTCACCGTCAGAAATCATTCACGGGGGGCGCCTGGGTGGCGCAGTCGGTTAAGCGTCCGACTTCAGCCAGGTCACGATCTCGCGGTCCGTGAGTTCGAGCCCCGCGTCGGGCTCTGGGCTGATGGGCTCAGAGCCTGGCTGCCTGGAGCCTGATTCTGTGTCTCCCTCTGCCTCCCGTTCATGTCATTCTCTGTCCCAAAAATAAATTAAAAACGTTGAAAAAAAATTTTTAAATAAATCTGCGACTAATTATTAAAAAAAAAAAAAAAAAAAAGAAATCATTCACGGAATACCTACTGCGCAAGAAACTTCAGTCGAGGCTGGGAGGGAAGGGAAAACGAGGAAGAGACAGTGATTTCGCCCCTTCAGCCTGCAGAGGTATGAGGCTCAGGTCTGGGAAGTTGGCCAACCAGTTGAGATGACTAAGTAGAGGGTATGAGCGATTTATCAACCTCCCCGCTTTTTGAAATGTTGTTTTCTTCTCTTTGCGTCTGAGCGACAGTCACCATTGAACTCAGAAGTGATTCCAGAGGTCTGGGCACACAAAGCTGGCCGTCTGGCAGAAGACCTCCAGCCCTGGAGACAGGCCAGTCGACTCCAAATGCCCAATGGGCCACTTCCTCTCTGATATGGGGAAAGCTGCTTAACCCTTGAAACCGGTTCTTTCGTTAGTAAGTGTGGCTCAATACACCTGCCTCAAAGGCGGATTTAAAGGAAAGGCAAGCGGGGCGCCTGGGTGGCGCAGTCGGTTAAGCGTCCGACTTCAGCCAGCTCACGATCTCGCGGTCCGTGAGTTCGAGCCCCGCGTCGGGCTCTGGGCTGATGGCTCAGAGCCTGGAGCCTGTTTCCGATTCTGTGTCTCCCTCTCTCTCTGCCCCTCGCCCGTTCATGCTCTGTCTCTCTCTGTCCCAAAAATAAATAAAAAACGTTGAAAAAAAATTAAAAAAATAAATAAATAAAAAATAAAGGAAAGGCAAGCGTTTGTAAAGCACAGAACAGTTCCCGACGAGCAATATATCCTCAGCAAATATGGCCCCCCTCTGCCTCCCTTCACCACCATATTGTCCAAGCTCACCAGGCATAAAGGACTAGCATGAGGAAAATGCTCTCTCTAGGTTAAGACTGAGGGAAAAGTGGCCACTGAAGCCTTGTAGAAATTTCCAAATTTGTGAAATAAGAGTCTCGTCCAATGTCTCATCTGCTACCTCTTCCAAAGATCCTGTCTATAATCAGCCAGTATACATGTATCCAATTAAAAAGGGTATTCAACTCTTGCTCCATATCTAATTCCCTTAGAAACCCAAAATGTTGGCCAGGGTACTCTACTCCTGCTGACCCAGGACACGTGTCTGTGCTGTGTGTCAATGTTTAAGGTAGCTCTGAAAGTAAATAAATTCTGTGCTCCCAAGTACCTCAGGGCCTGAACAAGAAGGCTGATGGATCAAAAATCAGGCAACTAGCCTAAAAGAAATTAAATATACTTGGCCTCCCCTCTATGCCAACATTCATTTTGGTTTCCATGGGAAAGAGCTTTGAATATGTTTGCTCGGAGGCAAATTCGCATCTGCTTTTATGTCTACTGATACACGTCTAAAAAACAAAATTGAAATATAGTTTTAAGCAATTCACTCTCTGATCGTGTTGATTAGTGTCCCCAGCCAGTGTGAACAGCTCAGGCACCCAGTCTCAGAAGAAGAAGGAAAAAAAAAAAAAAAATACAAGGATGTCTTCGGGAGCCGGCTTCTATGTGAATTACTAGACAACTGCCTTGCCCCTCTACGTTGCCTTTTCAGGAATAATCTTTCAGAACTGAAGGGAAATTAATAAGGAAATGCCGGGTAGAACGGAGCAATGGAGGGAGAGAAGAAAGAAGAGAAGAGGGTTAGCTGTCCATCCTAGCAAAGACGAGTAATAATGCAGTAAGTGATTTTAGAGTCAGTGGGTTGACCCCAGACACTCTTTTCCCAAAAGACTGATGACAAGTCCTTTTGAGTTGGGAAAGCCTGCTCCGAGGGACGAGAGTGGGAGAGTGAGGGTCTGAAAACATGTCCTGATCCTTGGCAGCTTTGAATAAATTACAGACCCTCTTGGATGGAAAGCAAAGATAGTCCTACTCATGTTTTCCACTCACGCCAGCCAGTGATTTTAACTGGGAATCACCCCATCAGCATGTCAGGATAGTGCTAATGTTTAATCCAATTCAAACTCAAGTCCTACTCTTCACTACCCAACGATAAGTTTATTCCTAAGAAGAGTTTCATGGACAAAATATATTTTCTATTTTTGGGGGCACTTTTGTTTTCACACGGTAAATGTACATTACAGTAAAAAATAAAATTTGGGCAGTGCAAAAAAAAAAAAAAGATAACCCCAGAATCCAAAACAATCACTACTGATTTTAAATTAAGGAGTTAGATTCTATAAATGGACGTTTGGCTGGCTGGCTGGCTGGATGAATGGATGGACAGAGCAAGAGTCAGATATAGATTGGCCAAACTTCTTTACTTGTTTCTTTCCAGTCTTTTGTTCTGTGTATATTATTAACGGAATGTAAGGTTTTAAAAACTCTTTCTTGATTAATTACACCTTAAAAAGGTAAATAAAACTCTTCCCTCCAGCAAGCATTCAAATGAATTTATCTTTGTCGTTTCGGTAATAACAACAAATTTGGTTGATAGTATTATTATGTGCAAATTTCACTTGAGCTCTGAGATTCTGTAGCACTACTCCTTCCTGTTTACTCATATACACCTGCAGATACACTTGAAGGTGCAAATATAAGCATGTGCCCATCTCTCTACATACGGACCAAGATAAATGACATGTACTCGCACTGCATTCACAGGACGCCAGCGTATAATTCACTCCAACGAGCACAGAAGCTGTTCCCATACATCTCACTATAAATAAGCCAGTCTTGTTTAAAAGCTTCTCAAAGGCCTGAAGCATCCAAGGTGGTTGTCTTTACTGGCCATTCCTCCCAATCCTTATCCCCATTTCTAACTAGGCTATCACTAAGTAAGAGGGGGCCCCTAAAATGCTTCCTTCTCCCTGATAGAAGCCAGAGCAGGATCAGTATGTGCACAGAGCGGGACACCGGCTGGAGAAGAAAACCAGCAGAAACACAGCAAGATGACATCCAGGTAAATAACAATGTAAATTACGGGGGGGGGGGGGGGGGGGGGGCGGGGATATGAATACATCACTGTTTAAAATCTTTTTTACCACTACTTACTAGTGGTCATGCTTTACGTTAAACGTGCTGCTTAGCATTGGAACTTTAAAAGCTAGAAATCATTTTAAAGATCATCAGACTGTACTTTACCTTACAGATTCAAAACAAAACAAGACTGAGTTTCAAACAGATGAAATGATACTTCTATCATCACCTGGCCTGTTAGTGGCAGCGTTAAATCTCAAACTTACATCTTTGAATTCTAAATTTTGGTTCTTTCCTTTTTATCACAGTGTCAACGCATAATTTTCTGTGGCTCTGTGGCTGAATTGACTTCTATATTCTAGTCAGCTCTGGTAGCTACAGTCCCCCTCCCAGAACCACTGAATCTAAAGATGAATCAGGGGCG